AGTACACAGACAGATGCAGATTCCAGCGACAGTATCTCGACAGATAATCACATGCATGTATTAAAAAAAGCAGCACAGGTTGTTTCCATATTATGCCGTCAGTAAATATGAACCTCACTTTTCACTGACAAGGTGTTTAAACAAATCTTATTTTACTGAACTGTACTGAATCAGTGGAACCGTCATCCTCAATTTATCACTGTGATGAATAATGTTTCAATGTTCCCCTTTAAAAAAAACTATAGTTAATGAAGTGCACTGTAAAGTATGCAGCCATATGGTGTTATTCTGCAGCCAAGAACATTGCTGGAAACACGGTAAGCACACTTTCTCTCTAAGACAGCATCGTATCTTGTGAAACACTTGTGGACTCAGTTGGATGTTGTTCAACTCCCTCTCCAGTCATTGATTTAACCCCTAAAAACTCCTGTTTGTGTGTTTAAGTTACATATTTAGAAGTTTTCTTTTTTTTCATGAAAATAATCCCCTCTTGCTTTAAAATGGCCTCGATGGAACTCTGCACTGTCGCTTTCTCTGTAATGTGCAATTCTATGAAGTCCTCACCTCTATCTACACCACCTCTTTCCTCTCGCTGCAGCCTGAGCACACCAGCTCACCCATAACTCTGCTCAAACACTGTAAAACTACTCTACGCTACACAATTGTAAGTTGTGATATTGATGATATGTCTTGTAGTTTTATATTAAAAAAGCACACGATATGGACATGTTAATAAGGTGAGGTGCTGTTATGTTGCAAAAAGGGACTTCAGGTCAAGATTGACAAAAAGATCTACCATTTCTATGATTTTAGCTGTTGACGTTTTATGCAACAAGGCCGTTAATTTCTGAATGTGACGCAAATGAAAACCTAAATGAAGCCTTTTGACTCAGTACATGTATATGTGCTGTGTGTGCAGAAGAAGCCAAACTTCTAAGGAAACTTGTCAGCCTCTTCCTGACACTGACGGGAGGCAAAGAAACCATTTTATCTGAAAAAGCTGCAAGAGCAAAACCCCCCAAAGACTCCTCTTTTTTGTTTGCTTCCCTCACTCGCTCTGGCACACTTTCTCAAGCTTTCTTGCCCCCCTCTTCATCTCCCCCTCTCTCTCTCCCTCTCCCTCTCTCCCCTGCAATTTCTATTTAATGAATATTTTTATCTTCCGGCTCAGAGCACATACGCACTCCACTGAAACAAAACGGGCTCTCTGCAGCCTTGCACATACCAAAAACTGGTCGGAGCTTGATTAAAACATGACATACTTTTCTAAACCATTAGTGGACAGTTCCAAATATAAAGCCTCACCACGGTGGCACACTCATCACATGCTCGTTTGCACAACCGATCAGCTGCGGAACCGAGCTCTGACAGAGATGTCGTGAAAGTAGCATCTGCTCCGAGCGTGACTCATTTGACTCTGAGGTGAAGCCGACTCGTGACGTAACAGCGAGCAATCGTCACCTTTAAAAATATGACAGATGAATGCTCTGTTTCTCAGCATAGACGAGCAGAGGGGACTGCAGCATACTGCGTTTTATATTTTTCATGCACAGCTATGTTGATGAAATACAAATTGTTTCTAGGTATTATAATCTATTATAGAGTAGTCTGAGTTACATCATTTTGTAACATAGCCCAGAGTGAGAATAACTAATGGATTGCTTGCTAAATAAATCTAATTTAAAAAAGCAATTTCTGGTGAACCTGCTGGATTTTACCCTTCATGGCCCTACGCTTCCTTTTCTTGTTTAAAATGGCCCCCGTTATTAATGCACCACACTGAGACTGGATGTCCTTGGGTGAGACAGAGAGAGAAAGAGAGAGAGAGAGATGTCTTCTGTCAGGGAAAAGTGTGATTGTGCGAAATAAATTACTCAGTGATGTATGTGAGAAGGTGAAACTGAGGTGGTGTGAGCATGTGTGAGGGAATCTCATAAAATCCCAGTTACTTCATGGCATTCTGCCTTTTATGAGCTGTCTCTCTCAGCAGCACCCAGAAAGTCTATAACGAAGAAATGCGGCAAGCCTCCTCCACCAGAAAGAGGATTTTCTATCGCTCACAAAGCAGATGTCGCACACTTAACTTCAGACAAAGCTGCACAGCTAATTAGCAATTACTGACACATTAGACTATAAGGTCAAGGCTGCGTTCTAGGATATAAAATCTGCTCCAATCTGCATATAAAACAGTTAGCGAGGCATTAGATTATCATGTGATTTTTGTATCAGTGTGATGAATTTGCCTATTTGCAGTTATTATATCCATTAGATGTTTCTCAGTGGATTTTTCCATAAAATTCATTGTATAGCTGAAACTAATATTATCATATAAATGCACTGCATATACTGTGGATTGATATTGCTTAAACAAATGTGTTTATTTTTGCTATTGATTCATCTGTAGATCTTTTTTTATTTTCAAACAGTAGATAATAATTTGGCTCATAAATTGTCAGATAAAAAATAAAAAATATTCATAACATTTTGTCAACATGATGAAATTTCAGGATTTTGCAGTTACATTGAACAGAAAAACAACAAAACAGCAAATCCTCACAATCTGAGTAGCTGCACCCAGAAAATGTTTTGGTCAAAAATAGCTTAAATGATTAGTTGAAAAGCAGCATAGTTGCAGATTTATTTTCTGTCATTTTATCTGTATTGCTTCCATCTAGCTACACCACAGACGACGAGGACAGAGCCAGTGATTGTGCAACTTGTGCAAGGTAAAAACCATCAATACTGATATTCATCCCCCCCAAAAAACTCCCCTCTGATTATTTTAAATCCCTGGTCACAGCCCTTAATCTCTTGATCCTCTCTCCTTGCGATGGGTTGGGGGTCTTCCTAAAGTATGGCTGGACAGCATGTATCTGTGTGCAAGTAGCCAGATTGCTTCCGATAAAAGTCTGGGCTTGGATTAGGAGGGTGGTGGCACGAGAACAGAGGGGCTGAGGGGGGCCTTCTGCCACCACAAGTCTGTGTGTGGGTGTGGGTGTGTGTGTGTTATAGTGTGTGTTGGGGGAGGTTGTAACATTGAGGAGCAGACAGGAGGAGACCACAGAGACAACTCACTGTGAGCCTGGAGCCGACTGAATCACACTGGGAATTAAAACTGAGTAATGAAGACAGAGCTGTGTGAAAATCTACAACTTCAGATACACACTCTTTACACACCCAGCAACACCTCTTCATGCATGCATGCAGACACAGAGCTGCACGACGGGATGCATATTTACAGATATGAAGCCTCACATGCATCCCCTAACCTCGCACACACAGATGCATGCGAAGCTGCAGAGGAACATCTGCAGGGGGAGAGAAGCCTCCACTAATGGGTGACAATAGACTCATCACACAGAATTAACACAATCTGTGCAGCCATCTAATGCCCTGTGTGGGCTGCTGTCGAGATCCAATCTGATAAAATGAGCTCTTGATTAAAGCTGAGAAATGTGTTAACAGCAAATCACGGTTGTCTGCAATTATTCTGCTTTTTATTCAATCCTTCAACATGATGTAACTCTTCCAGATATATTACACAGTTATAACTTTGATCTGCAAATCCTGTGTTGGACATCAAAACTGTCAATCATCACAGTGATATTAACAATACTACAAATGACTAATGGTGGCATAAATTAACTCAACTCTACTGCATTGTCTTATTGGATGGCAGTTGTGTAAATTAACTTACAAACTGCCACCTTATTCTCCGTAATTCAGGTGTAACAGGCAGTTAAGAAAGCTTCATATCTCCAGGCAGCAACCTTCAACAGACAGGCTGCTATTAGTGTCACAATGCGGCCGTTATTGCCTTCATCTTACTGACAGCTGCTCACAACGATGAGGAAACATGCAACCTGCAGCTCGTAGATAAATGCTGTTGGGAGCTTGGTTGATCTGGACAACAGCGATCGAGGGGAGAAGCATGTGTGAGTGACTCACCCAGCCTCCGGGGATCTTGCAGTAGGGGGGCCTGAAGCTGTCACTGTCACTGTGACTCGCCCCCACAACCTCCCTGAGACCCCCTCGCTCCCGGCTAACACCGGAAATCAAACTCACTCAGAGCCACGGAGGTGGTGGGGGGGCTGCAGGGGCAGATCTGTCCAAGGCTTTGACCACAAAGGCCCCAACAAACACTACTTGTGAGCATTGACCACCCCCCTGCTGGGCCCCCCAGACCTAGTCCAACTCCACAGCTGAGATGAGGCATAATAATAATAAGAGACACAGAAATGAGTGGGTGGGCTGAGGAAGTCTCTCAGTAACCTTGAACCCAGCAGCCTCTCATGCACTGGGCTCGGATCTAATAATACCAGATGATTCAGCATTAGATGTGGAAGACGCAGGGCCTAATTTAATTTATCACTTGTATCCCACAATAGGCGGTAAGTGCGTTTAGAGGGCGCAGAGGTCATGGCGTGCCGCTGCTGGCAGGAGCGGATTTTCGCCAAGGCGCACTTAACGATTGCATAACGTCGAGCGCGTCGGAGTTCCCACTGAGCTGCAAGAAAACACCGATTTAATCAGGGCCTGCCATCAGGGCTACAACTTGCGCATTGCAAGCGTGCGCGGCTGCCATGAGCTGCAGATCTGACGGGTTTTCTGTGCGGAATGTCATCTGAAGGGTACCGAGAGGAACTGACGTCCCCGGTACCATCGCACCGCGGTGCCATCCGCCTCCCAGACGAAACGCAATGTGCTTTAGGATAAATATCGTGTTTATCCGTTACGCACAGGAACAACTAGAGTAAAGCACGAGTAATAAATTATTCTGTTGGTGCAATGCTGCAGCACGCTAGTGTTTTCAGCACCAGGGCAGAGGAGTGGAGGTAGCAGGTAGCAGACGGAGCACAAACAGTACTCAGGAGCGCAGCCGCGATTATTCTCCACAAACAGGAATAATATAGAACGTGGACGGTCCGCTGCTCTCCAGTAATGTGCCAGTTTTAACAGATCCAGAGAGAGCTGGTGCGCAGGACGCCGCGTCCTCTTACCTGAGTGGCTTTGTGGAATTGCTTCTTGAGCCCCGCTACAGACATGGTCGCTACACGGTGGTTCTGGCCGGGAAGGTGAAGTGATGCTGCAGCGGCGGAGGAGGAAGAAGAAATCTCGGTCCTAATTCAATCTGCTGACGATGCTGCAACCGTAGCGAACCCCTCGGTCTTCACGCTGGTCTTCACGGAGGGATCTCCTGAGAGAAAGGGGCAGACTAAATCCCTGATCAGGCTATTGGATGTCAAACCCACATGTCTTAAACGGCGCTGACGTCGGAGCCTGATGCTTTTAAAGCGGCCGCCTCCTTACCGAGGCTCAGCGCCGGAATAACAGCGTCCCTAATCTGAGCCTGTTTAACAGCACGACAAGGGAGCAAGTGCACTGAGTTAGTTAGTCCTGAATTTGATTTATTCTCACAAATAAAATGGGGTGAAACCAAGGGAAATAGGATGATCTTGACTCCAGAGGGGTTGTTGCAGCGTCTCCAAAGGAAAAGAAAGAAAGAAAAGAAGAAAGAAAGAAAGAAATCTTCGCTCTACAATTAGTTTCTCTGCGCTCCCGCCTCTCCAGGACCCTGGACAGCGCCCATCAACACGCGACAAACACTGTCATAATAAATAAAGAAAAACAGCTACAAAGAAATACAGATAATATCAAGTAAGCTCTTTGAATTGCAGTAATTACACATTAACCCAAAGAAAAAAATAAATAAAACAACTACATCCAATATAAGTACTTTTATAAATGGTCTTTTTTTTTTTTTTTTTACAAAGTCTGACTGTACAATCACACTATTTTCACAGTATTCAAATCAGCAAAAATAACTGTTATTTTACAGATATTTTACATGATTTGAAATAAAAGTTATTTGTATACAGTTGAAACCAGACGTTTACATACACTGTATAAAAGGACACATCACCTTTTTTTGCCTGACATTAACTCAGACTAAACTTTTCCTGTTTAGGCCAGTTAGGATTTCCAAAATTGTTTCTATTTGCTAAATGCCAGAATAATGTGTGAGAGAATTTTTTTAGAGAATGTTTTTCTACTTTCTTCAAAGTCAGAAGTTTACATACACTAACGTTACTATACATTCAAACTATTTGGGAAAGCCCAGATGATGATGTCATGACTTTGGAAGCTTTTGATTGGTTAATTGACAACATAGGAGTTCATTGGAGGCACACCTGTGGTTGTATTTTAAGGCACACCTCAAACACACTGCTTCCTTTTGTGACAACATGGAAAATCTAAAGAAAGCAGCCAAGATATCAGGAAGAGAATTGTGGACCTCCACCAGTCTGGTTCATCCTTGAGTACAATTTCCAGATTCCTGAAGGTTCCACGTTCATCTGTTCAAACAATTATAAGCAAGTATAAACATCATGGGAATGTCCAGCCATCATACTGCTCAGGAAGGAGATGGGTTCTCTGTCCCAGAGATGTTTTGGTGTGAAATGTGTGTATCAGCCCCAGAACAAAAGCAAAAGACCTGTGAAGATGCTGCTGAAGCTGGTCACGGTGTCATTATCCACAATGAAACCAGTCCTGTACCGACATGGGCTGAAAGGCTACTCAGAGAGGAGGAAGACATTACTCCAAAAGCAACATAAAAAAGCAGATTACAGTTTGCAAATGAAAGCAGGGACAAAGACCTTGATTTCTGGAGACATGTCCTGTGGTCTGATGAAACTAAAACTGAACTGTTTGGCCATAATGACCATCGCTACATTTGGAGGAAAAAGGGAGAAGCTTACAAGCTTGAGAACACCATCCCAACTGTGAAGTACGGGGGTGGCAGCATCATGTTGTGGGGGTGTTTTTGCTGCAGGAGGGACTGGTGCATTTCACAAAATAGATGGCATCATGAGGAAAGAATATTATGTGGAAATATTGAAGCAACATCTCAAGACATCAGCCAGGAAGTTACAGCTTGGGCGCAAATGGGTCTTCCAAATGGACAATGACCTGAAGCATACCGTCAAACTAGTTATGAAATGGCTTCAGGACAACAAAGTCAATGTCCTGGAGTGGCCATCACAAAGCCCTGATCTCAATCCTGTAGTACATTTGTGAGCTGAAAAGGTGTGTGGAGCAAAGGAAACCCTAAATGTATGACCCAAGTCATACAGTTTAAAGGCGAGGCTGCCAAATACTAAGGAAAAGTATGTAAACTTCTGACTTTGAAGAAAGTAATAAAAAATTGTCTCGCTATTCTGGCATTTAGCAATATAAATATTTTAGTAATCCTAACTGACAGATAATAACTAACAAACACACAGTAAAAAGCATTGATTCACATGTCCATTGTAAAAAAAACATCTATCTATCTATCTATCTATCTATCTATCTATCTATCTATCTATCTATCTATCTATCTATCTATCTATCTATCTATCTATCTATCTAGTAACAGACCTACACTGTATATAAAATCCTCATCAAAAATCTGTATTTTCACAAATGGCAATTTCTTGGTTTTCCAATGTTGGACGGATACATTCCACTGACTGTATTTCATCAGCTAAAAAATGATTTGTCAGTGCAGTCAGAACTGCAAATGCTCAAATTAAAAAATAGATTCAGGATTGTTTTTCTATCAACTAAACACACACATTTACAAAAAGTGGCAAACTGTGCATGTGTGACAGCACTAATAAATCTGGACAGTGTTTGCTTGTTTGGCTAATATGAGCTTTTGCCATTCTGCCAAGATTTAAGAACACAGTGTGTTGAGCACTTCGCTGCAGCTGCTACACTTTCAGAAAGCATCCAGGCTGTTTTAATGTTTTTTGGCTTTGGAATTTAATTCTGACTTCAAAGTAGATTTGAGTTTAACACATATTCTAAAATGTCTATTCAGGGTTATTCTACTTACAGAAAACCATAATTGAAAAAAACAAAACAAACAAAAAAACAACAAAGTTAGTATTTTCAGGTTTTAGTGGTACAGAACTGGGAGAGGACAGAAACGTTATGCAGTCTATGTCACCCTCAGCTCCTTGAGTGTCATGTTTTTAAAATATCCCATTATCCCAGTAAAGGTGGAAACACTGCCATCATGTGGTGAAACATTCAGCTCAGACACCTCTGAAAAGTCAAGTCATCCTTATTTATACAGCACAGTTAAAACAACTGAAGTCGAGCCAAAGTGCTTTCCTTTAGAGAAATCAGATCAATGCTACAATTTTACACAACAAATTTAAATATCAAAGCTTTACATGGAAAACCCAACAACTCCAAGGATTCTCTTTCAGCAAGCATTTTGGTGAAAGTGGAGAAGAAAAACTCCATTTTAACATGAAGAGAGCTCCAGCAGAGCCAGGCTCAGGGAGGGAGGGAGGGAGGCTGAGGTGAGGAAAATGGGGGAGAAACAACAAACAAACCAGAAAACATAAACACTGGACAGGTTAGTGGGACAAGTAGTCACAGATCAGGTTAGGTGTAAGCGAGAGGACTGAGTCACCCTACTAGTAACTGTGGTGATGACCCAAGTGGCCTACATGCAGAAAAGTGAGTATTGAATTTTGGAGAGAAACAATTGAAGGCTTTCTATTTAATTGGTAACATTTTAAGCTAAATTTTGTATTTCAGTGGTGGCCAATGCAAATCAGCAACAAACAAAGTCATGACAGAATCTGTTGGGTTATTGGGTGAATTATTGTTTTTGGTCATGTAGAAAGCTGTGTTGATACTGTGTTTTAGTCGCTTACCTTCTTGTGAGTTATTACAGTTGACTACAGCTGCTGATTCCTCTGAGCCAATTTAAATAGGGCCCATTTGATACACGTATTAGACTCAACCACAAACACTACAATGGCAAAGTCTAAGGAGCTGAGTACAGATCTAAAAAGCAAATCATTGACTTGAACAAGTCAGGAGAGTCACACAGGCATTTCAAAGCAGCTACAGATCCAATAGTCATCTGTGCAAACAGCTGTAAGTATAACGTGCGTGGTACAGCTGTGTCACTGCCACGATCAGAAAGACAACACAAGCTATCAGCTGCTGTCAGTATCCACAGTCACTTGTGTTTTACATCACCATGAGCTGAGAGGCTGCCATGCAAGAAGGAAGCTCTTCTTCTAGAAGCAGCACCTTAAAGCTCGACTGAAGTTCGCTGCTGATCACACGGACAAAGAAAAGACTTTCTGGAAGAAAGTTCTGTGGTCAGATGAAATCGGCCACGATGACCAGAAATATGTTTGGAGAAGAGAAGGTGAGGCCCTTAATCCTAAGAACACCAAACCAAGCATCAAGCATGGTGGTGGCATTATCATGTGCTGTGGCCATTTTGGTGCCAGTGGAAATGGAGCGCTACACAAACTCAGTGGAATAATAAAGAAGGAGGATTACATCTGTATTCTTTAGGAAAACCTGAAATCATCAGCCAACAGACTGGGTCTTGGAAGCAGTTGGGTGTTTCAAGAAGACAATGACCCTAAACACACATCAAAATTGGTAAAGAAATGGTTTAACCAGGCTATAATTTGGGCTTTCAAACCCCATCAAAAATCTCTCGATGGTACAGAAGAAACAAGTCTGTCAGAAAGCCAATAATTTAGTTTAACTGCATTAATTATGTCAAGAGTAGTGGCCTAAGGAACACAGTTTGTCATAGATTTTGAAAATGTGTAATGAACCTACGAAAGAACTAAAATGCATGACCGTCTTGGTGACGGACTCAGGTTTCAATGATTTCATCAGAAAAAAATAAAAGCTGTAGGAGTTGTTAGAAACTCAAGGCTACCATGATAAGCACTGTCTTTGCAAGCATGTAAACTTTTGGTCATGACTGCATCCTCTTCAAAGCTTTCCCATATATTGGAGGACAAATTATCTGCTACCCAGAAGTAGTTATTATTCCAAAACCATAATTAAGCCATGGGGAGCCAGAATATTTGAACCTCACACTCTTTAAAAAAGACTTGCTTCCAGTTCAAGATACTGACATTAAGCCTATTTTGCAGTTGTTCTATAATATTGCAATTGCATTTAAATCCTCACATGTTCAGTAGAGATGTTAGCGCCTCCTTGTCAGTCAAAGCAGACAGCAGCTTCAACACACTGAGAGCACTGATACTGGCTCTCAGTATGTGTGCAGGACCACTGGGTTCTAACCTCTAGACTTATACG